AGTCAGTTTGTGTCTCAGGGACCGCAGTTTGGCACAGAACCTGGTCCAGGTATTGGCTATGAGAAGACCTCCGTTGTGCCACCAACTTCCGCTGATTCTCAAGTGAAAAGTCAGGTGCGTGACCCCTTTCCCGCTCGTTTGTAAACGAGAATCGTATTCTGACTGTGTTATTTATTTTAGTTGAACTTGCTTGAACTTTGTTTTACATCGAAGATGAAAAGGACAGCATCCATGATTTTCGGCATATAGCTGGCACCACGAGCCCTAAGATTTCTCTTATCCCACAATTAATAGTTGGTTTTTATCTATGTAGTCTGGAACGGACCATTTTCCGGGATTGACAACAGCATTCGGGACTGGAACAGTTGCAAGCGATATGCCTGCGAACAGTCAGTTTGTGTCTCAGGGACCTCAGTTTGGCACAGAACCTGGTCTACGTACTGGCAGTGAAAAGACCTCCGTTGGGTCTCCAACTTCCGCTGATTCTCAAGTGAAAAGTCAGGTACGCGCTCCTTTCCCACTAGTTTGTGAATAATAACCGTCTTCTGACTGTGTTATCTATTTTAATTACTTCAACTTTAGTTGTCATCATAGGTGAAAATGCCACCATTCATGATTTTCGGCATTTAGCTGGCCCCAGGAGCCCTGAGATTTCTCTTATCTCACACTTCGTAAATAGTTTTCATATTCGTAGTCTGAAACGGACAATTTTCCGGGATTGACAACTGCATTCGGCTCTGCTTCTATAACAGACCACATGCCCGAGAACAGTCAGTTTGTCCCCCAGGAGCCTCGATTTGGCACAGAACCTAGTCTGCGTACTGGTAATGAAAAGACCTCTGTTGTGCCACCAATTTCCACGGATGTTGAAATGGATATTCAGGTGAGTGATTCCTTTCCTACTCGTTTGTACACGAGAACGGTCTTCTGTCTGTTTTATCTTCTTTAACTGCTTATATTTTTTAACTTAAAAAGTCTATGTAGCAAACATATTGTGTTCGGCAATTCATCATCGAACCTGTACAATTGCGTGGATAATGAAATTAGTATAGTTAAAAAGGATTCATGAGTGTCTTCAGTTAATCTTTTTCACGCCGTCCACATGGTGAGATAGGCGTGTGGAGGCCCTTGCCCTGGAGAAGTGAAGGAAATTGCGAGAGATAGTGAGCACTGGGTAAGGTACGTGGAATGATAATTACTGTCATTTGCACGGACTGGGAGCGATTTGCCATCGTCACTTGTTGTTGGCGTCGGCCTCGGAAGTGATATTGCGTGTATTGGCGTCTCCTGACACTGCACTGCAAGCATCCGTTGGCGTAGGCCTTTAGATATGTCGGTAGACAACCCGAAAGGCTTCGTTAGGATCAGATCGGTTATTCGTATCGACACTGTGCGAGAATACCACTCGAGATCGATGTTCTTTCACCTTTACTTAACTAGGCCGGTATCTGTTCACGTACCCTCTTTTCTAGACATCTCGTTGTTCGGCCAATGTATCCTGCTCCGCAGAAGCAAGTGAAGGAGTAAATGCAAGGGGATGTGACCTTTAACGGGAGTCGGGCTTTACCTAGCAATTCCAGCAGGGGAGAGTTCGTGAGGAACTCGCGTAAGTTCGCCGCGGAGAAAACGCAGGTGATCGCAGTCTCCAGACGTCGTCTTATCAGCTCGCTTTTTGCATCGCCTAAGCAAGACAGACCCTTTGTCAGCATCACTCGTTCTGTTGAGTGTTTC